TAGCCTGCAAAGAGTTTTTTTTTTTTAAGTTTGCACACCCCTTGAATTTTTCAGAGATTATTATGGTAAATCCAGTATATTTAATGGCAGTTTGTATATATACATATATATAAAGAGAGAGCCATAAATTCTTATTCAGCGCCACTGACTTAATACTTTGTATCTTTTGCAGCAACGTTGAAGACTTTAGGAATATAACTTTTTTATGCTTTGTTACATCTACAGAAATTATTTGCCAATCTGCAAACTCAGCCAAACAAGGTGGAGAATTATAGATGTGAACTACAATTTGCCATGGATTCTCCTGGCAGGTGGTGTCAGGGGTTTTTTCATCACTTGATGAATAGTCATTCTCTCAGGACTTTCCTTGTTTTTGCCCTTTGCCGTTTTCCCTTCAATGTTTCACAATGAGGCTGGTATGTAAAAGGGTATAGTGTTGCTTTCCCTTAACTTTAAAACAGGCAAAAAAACTTCAGTATTTAGTATTACACTGAAATATACTGATTCTCACCACACTTTCAAATTTTATCTAAACTTAAAGGGTAGAATTTTTTACTACATATTTTTTGGTGTTTTTTTGTGAAATCTCAACATGAAAACCTGCAAAAAGGTTTAAATTTGCATTTAACAAAGCTCAGAGCAGCTTGGCTTTCAGCTTTATTCCTACACAACTATCTGTTAATAAAAGCTCATCTCAACAAAATAAGTTATGTAAGTAGATGTCCTGTCATTTAAAACCTTTATTGGACATTACGGTCATCTTTTCTTTTCTAGACACAAAAAGCAGCTCTTATGACTGAATGGCTTTGAGATGATTTATTGTTTCAGCACTTAAAGAGCTGCCCATTGATGGTGCAAGAATAATGTTGACAAGTCAGATATTTTTACTGGTGAAAGTAGCTGGACCGTAAAGTGGCACTGAGATGAGTTACTGAAACATCTCATCCCTTTTGGGGGTGCAAATCATTAAGGAACTGATCCTACTGGTTAGCTCCATGCCTTGTTGGACGCTAATGGTAAGCTTTCTTTGTAAAGGCATGTGACGAGAAAATCAATGACAGGAGGCAGAGGAGGGTGTTTGGTTAATTGTTATGCACTGTTTGAAAGAAACCCAAACTATAGCTTTTCAACAGCCTCCTATGATGTAATTTATGATTTTTAAAGGATTTAAAATGAGCCTTACTAAATAAGGAGTTCTCACAAAGTGCTTCAAATTTTTTCAAAAAATCCCCTATAATTTATGCATACCAGTATCTGTTCTATTATAATTTTCTCTTTCATTTTTTTTTTTAAATCAACAGTTGTCATGCATATATTTCTCCCTTATGAAAGATTTAAGCAGACCTCCTTACTAGCAGTTGGATTCCACACTTTGGGAGATGAAAGCTAAGAACAAAAAGCTGTCTGGATTCACTCACACTGGGCCCTCTGTGCTTGCATTTACATCGACTCAGTTGTTAGAGCATTCAAAGATCACACATATTGAAGCTGAGGTATTTCCCTCGCACAAATAACACAGACTTTCCCACAACGATAAGGAGTCTGTTGCTCGTCAAAGCGAAGACGCAAAATGAGATAAAATCATAACACTTATTTCATTATTTAAAGGGATTGAAATGCAATATTTAAAAAGCAATTAGAGGCACTAGGAAGACAAACATTTCTTGGGATGGCAATGGAACTGTGCAATGATACAATCTCTAAAATAAAATTTGCATTAATTTGGATAGATTTTAATCTAATGTAATTCTAAGTGATTAGAAAAAAAAAACATTTGCACTCATTTCTCCTTCCAAAAAAATACAAAAAAAGTGATTTGAAAGTCATAGCTTTAACATTTTTTTGTCAAAATTATACATTTGTTAAAAGAAATGGCGCAGAATAAAAGTATAATGAATCTAAATTTGTATACTAAAGTGAGTTATATAATAAATTGAAAACACGGACTCCGAACAGCTACAATTTCTGCTATTTATAATGCAGAAACAATGAAAGCAGGCAGCAGAAGGGTGTACAGCAGATAATCAGTAAGTTTTAGTGAAGAAAAATTTTCAGGTGACGTTTTAATATCTTAGTGACATTTATTTGTGGTTTTTTCTGAACTTCTTGATTATTGATTTTTTGGAGTTTTTTCTTTAGAGGTTTATTCCTACCGCTTTTGTTTAGCTTCTCATTCAGCATTTAAGTACAGTTTCTGTTTTTTGTCTCCTTTCCTCTGTTCTCCGCTTCAGCACAATTCTATGCAGTTAAATTAGATAAAAAGATGTAAGAATATTTTAACCCCACGGATAAAATTTCTTAACTTTAAGAAGTTCTACTAGCTTTCTAATTATCTTTACTATTAGCTGCTAAACTACACAAACACAAAAAATGCTATGCTAATAATACTAATCATAATTCAAATGAAATCAACATATTAAGCTTGGTTTCTGGGAGAAAAAATGTATATTTAATTTTTCAGAATAAGCAGAGAATTGTTTATTGATGATAAAAGATTTTCTGTGTCAGTGCAGTGTGTCCATAGTATATTTAATAAACAATGTAAGCGCACAGAGTGGGTATTTTATTTTAACTATTATTTTGCTCAAATATAGTAGATTTCTGCCAATGTTTTTTTTTCTACAGGGAGCCCGTAATCATTCAACAGTGCATGTCTCTACTCATCCAAGGGTGAGAGTTTATTTTCTAAACAAATGAACTAAGATCACACAAGGAGATAAATACAGAAATCATCCAGTCCAAATCAGCTCTTGTTTGCATTTGTGTGTTTGCATTTAAGTTAGTGGCAGTTTAATGTGAGGGACCACCAGAACAGTTTGTTTCCAAGAAGGGTTGTGTTTTCTATTTTCCCATCTTCTACAGGGCTTTTTAATGTTTCTTGTTTGTCACTGAAGGCAATCTCAGAACTTAAGGATGTGGCGATTCAAAATAATTGCATTGTCACAGTATGTGGTCCAGCTTGTTCGCAAAAAGCCTTGGACAAACCACAGGATTTCAGCTTGATGAGCATTAATTTAGAAAAAAAAATCTTTTTAACATAGTGCTTTAAAATCTGTCCATTAAATCAACTACATTTCAGATGTATTTTATTACTTGAAACAATCCGTTCTCTTCCATTATTGAATAACTCACTTCTCCATACTCAGAATCAAGGTTAGTGGTGTACTGTATTATTCATAGCTACCTCAGTTGAAACTAATGTTTATGCTTACAAAAACTAAAGTATGACTTCCAGCTTCCAGAGCCAAACTGCTTCAAATGATTCAATGTTAGCAAAGGTAGCGACTGAAGTCGAATAACAGGATAATCTGGACCATACTTTTGATTTTATGTATATAGGGTTGTGGTATTCTGCTTTCTTAACACTCAGCCAGATTCATCTTGCTGCCAGTCACTGAGATCATAAGCTTCTCTGTGTACAATGAAGATTTAGACTGGTGCCTGTGTTAAACGTGGTGAGTATGAATTATGACTAAAGAAGATTTCAATTTGACTGCAGTGTTTAAAATGTATTCTCTGTTTATCCAATAAATTGTCTACCTGCAACATGTGTGTCGTTGTTTTAATGGCTATGCTTTATTAGCACAAACAAGGCGTAAATAAGTCTGGTAAGGCACAATACTCTCTGATCTAAAGTAGCCATGACAAATCCCAACGCAAGAGCCGGGCCCATGATGAAACCTTCTGCAACCACTCAAAACTGCAGCTGCAAAAAGCAACGTTTTTAATTATGCCCTCAACATTTCGTATAAATTTCAACAACTAGCTGCTGTAAATACTTTTCTTTTTTTAGAAGGTGTTTTTGCCACACAGCCGAGTTATCTGATAAGTTCTAAATTGTCTTGCTGGCTCTGTTAGTCTCGCCTTAGAAATCATGCTCCATGTTGGTTTACTTTTAAAACATTTTACAATATTTTATTGTTTTTCTTTTAAATCTTCACTATTATGTTATTCTTATACATTTTTCTAAGGTCCATATTCATATGACCATTTTTCTATAATCTTTTTGCTGCTGTAAACACCATAATTTTCCCATAGTGGGACAATAAAGGTATTTTCTATTCTATTCTATTCTATTCTATTCTATTCTATTCTAATAATTCCTTTCCAGGCTGAAATGCTGTGTACACATCGTAAGTCAGCTTTGCGGTCCAGGCAAATGCTTTTTACACTCAACTGGTATGATAGATTACTGTGGCAGTGCTATCCATCTCGTAACACCATATATATTGTCACACTGCACATTCCTACCTGGTAACAATAGGCCATAATGTTTATCTCTGAGAAGCATCTGCCTCCTGAGGGTCTCTGAAGTCTTTTTGTTTCTTTTTTAACATGTCACACAATAAAACCTGTTGGTTTAGTCTGCATGTCTGTGTCATGTCTTTCAAGGCCAAGGGCTAAATGGGTGCTGTGTAGGGGAGTCAGCCAGGAGGGGGTGCTTGACAGCACCCCTTTCTAGGGACTTCATCATCCTACTGGGGGAACTTCAGTGCCTAAGCAGGAAATGACAGTGGTACCTGGTGGGGAACACAAGACATATTCTATCACTGGTGTTCCAGCACAAGGATATTCATCAATGCACAACACAATAGGCTAGAGGGTAATAATAATGTTAGTTGTCTTACCTTCTAGCCTTCGCCTGCATGTCTTATACATCTTAGGTGCAGAGAAGGATAGAGCTGTCCACCTGGTTGTGAATTGGATCTGCTAGCAGAGGAGGAAGACTCAGCAAGCCTAGGCAAGTAGTGATAAGTTTCTTGGGAAAATCTGGCTGAGCCCTTAGTTAGAGACAACTTTTTAGGCTCCTTCTCCAGTAGAGCCGGATGGAAGGGATACTGTCAAGCTGAAGAACGATTCCTATCAAGGCTGGTCAGTATGTGGGACCAGCCCACAACAGCTAACAGGTAATGTTGGGCCAGCCAATGCCCAGACAGTAGAGAAGGGAAAATCTATTTAAGGAGTTTGGCGTGACCACGCAGAAGTCCAATCATTTCAGTCTTAGAAAAATTCTGTTGAATCACCTTGCTCCTTCTGAGGGAGGAAATAGGGCTTAACCATAACTTTTTACAGTGGAGCGTTGCTCAACTTGTCTGAGTATATTGTTGGACAATGGAAGGCATACTTAGAGGGTGTCCTCAACCCTGTCATCTCACTTTCCATGGTGGAAGCAGAGAATGGATACCCAGCATCTCGACCAGAGAAAGTAGCCTGCCCTCTTCAGGTTAAGGGAGCAACCCTGCCTCAAGTAAAGGACTTCAGGTATCTTGTGGCCACTTTTATGATTGGCCTGGCACCTATTTTTTTTAACTTTCTTTTAAGTCTGTTTTTACTTTTTACAGTAGCTAAATTGTAACTAGTGCTCTGTTAAGCTGTGACAGTACCTTGGAGGAAGGCATAGTGCTGGGTGTTGCCTACAACAACTCAATTACAGAAAATACAGTTGGCCCTGTATTTCAGTGTTTAGTCCATTTTCTCTCCTAGAAACAGTTGGCAAAGTCTTTACTACACCTAACTCTATGTGCTTTTTAAATACTTTTTACCTGAAAACTGGCTCTGCAAACTGTTTCCCTGACAAAGCCACCTATGGAGCAACTTTACCACCATGACTGGGTTAGTGCTTTTGAGGGTCTGCCTGCTTGTCTTCTCAAAGTCTAAGTCCTTTGCAGCAGAAGGCTGTTCAGACTAAGCAAGGTTCAGCTGGAGGTTTCTATTACTCTACTGCATGCATGCTTAGTATGAGAGACTGCTGCAAAGTTAACAGCACTATGAGAGTGAATGTCCACTATCAAAAGTGAATTTGCAAAAGTCAATGAGTTGATGCAATCAGCTGGGTTTCCTTAGATAAAAAAACAACATGTCTGTATGAAATTAGTGACTCTGTGAAGTACCTTGAGATTAAATGTGCTGTTAATGGAAAATATGTGAATAATCTGAACTGAAAACATAATTAATACTCAATATCAAGTTAATGATTTTTCTATTTGCAAATTTTACAAGAAGCACCTTATTTGCTTTCAACCGATGTTGGCTTCAAAACACTTTTCATTTGCTCTAAAATGTTACGTTTTCATCAACTATGAGCCAAAAAAAAAATCATAAATACTTCATTTTTATATAGAAGTAATAAAACTGGAGTCTCTAATTCATGTTTCAAAATCACTTTCATGTACTGAATTGAGTTAATAGAATAAATTAACTTGCCAATTATATTCCAATGTTTTCAAACTGACTGTATAATATACAACATTTTGAGTGAACTAGACCACCTAGTAAAATCAGAGCACAAAACCCTATCTGCAGTAATAGAGGCCTTTTGGATGCCCTCATTTTGGGAGAACTTTTTTTCTCAATTTTCTTCCCTTTACCTTTTGTATACCCGGTCAGAGCACAATTGGACAATTTGGCATGAGGTAAGATGTGTGGTAAGATCAGTGTTTGTGTGGATGTTTGTTGAATTACAGGTGCTGGTCATAAAATTAGAATATCATGAAAAAGTAGATTGATTTCAGTAATTCCATTTAAAAAGTGAAACTTGTATATTATATTCATACATTACATACAAACTCATATATTTCAGATGTTTATTTTGTTTAATTTTGATGATTACAAATGACAACAAATGAAAATCTCAAATTCATCATATCAGAAAATTAGAATATTACTGAAGACCAATAAAAACAAAGGATTTATAGAAATGTTGGCCAACTGAAAAGTATGAACATGAAAAGTATGAGCATGTACAGCACTCAGTATTTAGTTGGGCCTCCTTTGGCCTGTATTACTGCAGCAATGCGGCGTGGCATGGAGTCGATCAGTCTGTGGCACTGCTCAGGTGTTATGATAGCCCAGGTTGCTCTAATAGTGGCTTTTAGCTCTTCTGAATTGTTGGGTCTGGTGTATTGCATCTTCTTCTTCACAATACCCCATAGATTTTCTATGGGGTTAAGGTCAGGAGAGTTTGCTGGCCAATTAAGAACAGGGATACCATGGTCCTTCAACCAGGTACTGGTAGCTTTGGCACTGTGTGCAGGTGCCAAGTCCTGTTGGAAAATGAAATCTGCATCTCCAAAAAGTTGGTCAGCTGCAGGAAGCATGAAGTGCTCTAAAACTTCCTGGTATGTGGCTGCGTTGACCCTGGACCTCAGAAAACACAATGGACCAACACCAGCAGATGACATGGCACCCCAAACCATCACTGACTGTGGAAACTTTACACTGGACTTCAAGCAACGTGGATGAAGTGCCTCTCTTCTTTTCCTCCAGACTCTGGGACCTTGATTTCCAAAGGAAATGCAAAATTTACTTTCATCAGAGAACATGACTTTGGACCACTCACCAGCAGTCCAGTCCTGTTTCTCTTTAGCCCAGGCAAGACGCTTCTGACGCTGTCTGTGGTTCAAGAGTGGCTTGACACAAGGAATGCGACAGCAGAAACCCATGTCTTTCATACGTCTGTGTGTGGTGGTTCTTGAAGCACTCACTCCAGCTGCAGTCCACTCTTTGTGAATCTCCCCCACATTTTTGAATGGGTTTTGTTTCACAATCCTCTCCAGGGTGCGGTTATCTCTCTTGCTTGTACACTTTTTTCGACCACATCTTTTCCTTCCCTTCGCCTCTCTATTAATGTGCTTGGACACTGAGCTCTGTGAACAGCCAGCCTCTTTAGCGATGACCTTTTGTGTCTTGCCCTCCTTGTGCAAGGTGTCGATGGTCGTCTTTTGGACAACTGTCAAGTCAGCAGTCTTCCCCATGATTGTGTAGCCTATAGAACTAGACTGAAAGACCATTTAAAGGCTTTTGCAGGTGGTTTGAGTTAATTAGCTGATTAGAGTGTGGCACCAGGGGCCATCAATTTTGAACCTTTTCACAATATTCTAATTTTCTGATATGATGAATTTGAGATTTTCATTTGTTGTCATTTGTAATCATCAAAATTAAACAAAATAAACATCTGAAATATATGAGTTTGTATGTAATGTATGAATATAATATACAAGTTTCACTTTTTAAATGGAATTACTGAAATCAATCTACTTTTTCATGATATTCTAATTTTATGACCAGCACCTGTACAGTAATGGGAACAAGTGAACTCTACAAATGCAACCACAAACCTCTTGCTCCTCTTTCCTTTCTTTCTTCTCATTCTCTGGTGCTGTTGGTTGCACGGTAAACTCTGAATGACCCAGGTTTGGATCTGGATCCTCAACAGCACTTACAACTGGTTAAGTTCGACTTCACTTTGGCTAAGGGAGCTCATGAAGCTAAACATGTCAGCCCCAAATTGAAGGTGTCCCCATCTTTGCTTTCTACTCCTCCATGCACCTTTGGCATGACTCCTTCTGAAGTTCGCCTCCCCCTCTCTCACTGTGCGGTAAAATTTGCCTTTCACACGGGCAGATGGCCAATGCAAATAAACCAGCCACATGCCAGCAAACGAGGGCATGAACAGGGTCGGGGGGGCCTTGTCGAGAGGTGCCAGAAGTGACAGAGGGAGGGATATGGTCACGCAAAGAAAACAAGCTCAGCAAGAGTGAGGGCAGCCTTCTCACGCAGGGGCCCAGACATGTGTCTTGTCATGCAACAGCCATCCCATCAACCCAATTAGGGCTGACGGAGGTAATAAAGCGAGGGAGGGAGAAAAGGAAAAGAGGGTTTCCCTGTATTTCCTCCAGGAAAATGAAAATAAAAAGCAAGAATAAAGTGTTTACCTTTAAAAGGGGTACATAAAAAAAAAAAACAATTGCTCTTTGCAAGGTGATGCCAAATCGTATGCTCACACAAATTATAAACAAGATACAGGTGCATAAAACTCCACAGGTCTTTCTGAATCAATACAAAAAGGTCCAAGTGTGGAAAAAAGCAAGTTTTAAATGAAATTAATTCTGGTGAATTTTGGCAACGGGTAGCACTGCTGCCTTGCAGCAAGAAGGTTTTGGGTTCGATTCCCGGCCAAGGTTCTTTCTGCATGGAATTACATTCTTTCAGTTACATTCTTCACTAGTAATTACATGTTTTCAAATTAGGCAACAGACAAAACAAAAAAAGAAAACAAATACAGAAAAAAAATGAGCAAATAAATACTTGCAAATAAATACTTGCCTTTTTCGGCAGCAGAACTTTTTTACTTTATTAAAGTCAGAAATGTCATGCACGACTTTGCACATCACTGAATCTGTGATTGAACAATGTCAGAACATCAGTCCTCTAGCATCATAAACACCCTGTGTGTGTCACCTATTTTCAATTCTCTTGTGCAACTTACAGAAAAAATATAAAAGGAGATCTATACAGATTGGTTATGACTTTCTCTATTCACTCTATCCTCTTTACCTAATTTAATAAATATTTTTGCAGTAAAATTTAATAATGATTACCCCATTGACTGCTACAGTATATGAAACCAACTTATTCATAGTGTTTCAAGATGGTGAAACTGGAATTGAAAGATGAAAATAAATAAAAGACACTAGATAAGGATCAAATGTCAGTTTGGACATTCCTTCTGTTTGTTTGGCTTACAACTTGGTGTTTAATCTGTTCCCAAAATAACTATAGTACCCAAATGGAAATGCCTTATATAGAGAAATTCCTCTGAGAAAAGCACTGTGGTAAAGATAAAATTACTGCACATTTATTTTGCTAACATGACATTCCCTGCTGGCCAAATGTACACAGAAGTAAAAGTATAATGATAAGCTACTCAGTCAGAAGAACAGAGCTAGCTATTTGCGTGATTGACAGCATTAAAGCATCCTCATGTCTGCTTACTTTGCAAATAAAGATCTAGTATACACAAGAATGTTGGAGCTGTCAAACAGATGGATAGTTCCAGGTTATTTCCACATTTGTTTAGCCTGACAGGAGGGATGAGGCCGAACCCAGAGCAGCTGGGCCCTGTACACATGCCAGAGTGAAATAAAGTCTGGAAACTCAAAGATAAATTGTATGAAATGATGTTAACATGATTAGCTTTTAATGAGTGAACAGTTCTCTTCACTGGCTCAGATTTTATACGCTCTGTCCAAAATTAATATTAGATCTCAGTCCTTATTTGTCTTCTTGAGTTTACCAAAATGCTAAAAAAAAAGAAAAAATAAAAGTCTGCATGGAGTCTTCAAGGTTATTTTGATGATGTCAGCCCAACCCTGCAAACTCATTTTCCAAATAATGCAAAAGAGGCTTGAAACAGGCAGAGTTAAAAAAACAAAAAACAAAAAAAAAAAACGGTTAATTGGTTTGAAAATGAAAGTACTGTGTTAAGAAGTCAGGAGCTAATATGCAGCAAACTAAGAAATGATGCCAACTCCACAACACTAACAAGCAAAAAAACAACTCAAATAAGACAATGATCCACAAGAACTATGACAGGAAATAGTGAAGAGTAATATAAAAAAAAATTTAATACCATCAAATAAAAAGATTCAGAAAGATGAGACCACAGCATATTTGCCCAGGTAAATTATGTTTTAAAAGGTACAAGCAACTTGTTTAAGGAAGATATATAGAAAGAAATACATTTTCTTTCTTTCCTTTTAATTTCCCTCATCATGTCCTTTGGATTTAAACTCCACCAATATGACCAGATTGCTAGATCTGATCAGATGATCCTCTTAAAGTTGTTTACTGTGTTACCTCTTATGCTTTCTGCAATATTAAAGGGAATACTTTTAGTTTCCATCTATAAATCTACAAGGATCAGATTTGTAGAACAACTGTGTTTTCATGTTTGATTCTTGCCACTGAGCTGTGGATCTCCGTAGCTTCTGGTTTAAACTAATGTTTGTATAGAAATATTGTAATTGGCTCAATAAGAAAATGTACTGAACACCATAAAAACGTCAGACCACAGACCAGTTATGAAATATTGTCTAATAATTGGATGAGTGCAGATGGCAATGAAGGGAGCTGGACTTTACTCAGTGGTTGGGCTTAGAAATTTGGAATATTTGCATTTTATTTTTTTTTTTTAAGGCAGGCACTTATCATGTCTATTTCAGTATTATGTAATTCCTTGGCTCATTCTTTCCCAAAGAGTTCAGATTAATTACACTGAAGTTTTGGGTTTTCATGATACAAATTTAAAGGAGAGAGAAAAAGTTTTTCAAGGTGCTGCACACAGGCAAATCCCCCATTTCAGCTGAGCTCTCTTTAGTGGCTCCTATTTATAGTTTTATGAAAAGTTGAAGAGGTTTTCTTGCATAATATTCTTCAAATGAATAATTAATTAATTAATTAGATAATAAGGGTCAATTTTGTCTGATTACAGAAGGATTTCTAGGCTTTTATACATATGAAAGAAAACTTGGTCTGACAGCATAAAGATGTAGCCTTGAACTCAACAGAAAACCTCCTTGAAAGTTGTCCATACAGAAAAAGCCGTGAATGCATCAGCTTGTGAATTCACTGCTCATGCTGAAGTTTCTGTTCGGCAGTAATTACTTCCACCTTCAGCAATCCAAGATACACAGAGCTGTGGTGTGCAAATGGGTTGAGTGGTCACAGGGCCACCCACAATCACACAATTAACTCCTCCTCAAAGCTTTACATGTTCATTCTTTTAATTCAACTGCAAATATCTTATTCAGCTCTGGTAAATCCCAATGTTCTGTTTAAATTGAGTCTATGTGACAGCATACAACAGGAGTGTAGATTTTTTTTTTTTCTTTTATGATGTTTCCTCATCACTGAGCTTTCTCCAAGTCTCACAGCTGTAAGTGAGAGCTCATTGTGTTGCAGCAGCAGGTGACTTGGCATTGTTCAACTACATGAAGGTGCCGAAGTACGAAGGTGCAAACAGAAGTATTGCTAAAAAACATAACTAGAAGAATCCAACGTAAACATGACATGTTCAGTGTGCCCAAAGTACAGTAGATTTTTTTTGTTCAATTACTATCTTTATTCTTGTAGTTAAAAGTGTCTGCCTGCTTTGAGTTTGAGATCTGAATTTTCACAAAATTTGAAATCTCAAAAGGAAATTACAAAATTTTAATCATTCAAATAATACAATGTGAAAAAACAGGTACATCAGGTACCTAAAACGGTTAATAGGTACATCTTCCACAAACTCAGAAAGAACCATCCCTTTTATCCTCTGCCAAAGGCAGTTGAGAGCAGCGCGCTGTTGCTCTGAGAGGGTTGCAAGTACTCAGTTCGACCCCCACAGCCTGCACTCTGGCTCTTTGAGAAAGACCCTTAACCCCACACTACTCCCCAGGCACCACACAATGGCAGCCCACTGCTCCCCAAGAGGATGGGTTAAATGCAGACTTAAATTTCTCCAATGCGAGATCAATAAAGTTAAACTGTTATTAAAACATTTTAGAAATGGATACAATGCAAAATATGCAGTTTATTCAAAACTTTCTTTTGCATTTAATTGTCTGCATTAAGCTCCACTATACATCTTTGTGAGGTAACTTTTTGAGGTCAAAGGTAATTTCTACAAGGAAGCTGGTTTGCTCAATTTAAGTAAAATGATAGTTTCTCTTCATGTCAGGGTGGATGGAGTTGTGGGCTCAAATGCAGAGTAGAAAGAGGCAGGGAAATTTGTTTGCATATTTTCATTAATAATTAAGATACAAAATCCTCATTCCAGAATTGATGGACAAGGAAACTCAAGAACCAAATGCTGGGAGACACGAGGGAGGAATAAACCAAAAGAATGACAAGGATCCAGCAAAGAGTGACTGAACAGGAGGTGTGTATAGGGGAGACAGACACATGAGAGGACTAATTAGTTGATAGGGAACAGGTGTAGACAAAAGTAACTAGAAGGAGCTAAAAGAAGGTGACTGAAAAAGGGGGCCACTGAGAGTAAATAAAAATAAAACTCAAATATAACACAAAATGGAAAAGAAAACCATGATCAAGAAAACATAGAATCACATAAATCAAAGTCTAACTGAGAACTTAAAAAGAAACTTAAACAGAAGTCCACAAAGGGCACAATCATGACACTACATTTACTCAGACTTAATTTTTCCGGAATTAAACCTACTGTGCTTATGTTTAGCACAGCACTTAATACTCACTATTTTCTCTAGGTATACTGCAGTTATCCATAATGCTGGTTACAGAGAAGATACAAATCCATAACTGTCATATGTAAATATCTTAAATTAAATTCATTTTCACATATCATTAATAAAGAAAAAAGGTGCAAACAGCAAACCCCAAGACAACTGTTTTTGCTAATTAAAAACCTGAGCAAAGTTATAGATTCAGCAATGTGATGAAGATAAAAAAAAAAATCATAAATTGTGATGCTGTTCAGTGCAAAGTTATTTCATACCTCTGGCAGATTTAGGTTTAAAATGTATGGAAGCCCGTTTCCGCCACTCTGTAAAAAAAAAAAAAAAAAAAACTATCTCATTATAATGAGATAGCATCTCAATATAATGAGATACTATCTCATTATAATGAGATAGTAACTCAATATAATGAGATAGTATCTCATTATATTGAGATACTATCTTGAGTATTTTTCTTCAATAGCTCCCAGGTCATGTGACCTATTGACGCAAAATCACTTGGAAATTGTTCTACTAGTCTCTGTAGATGGGGCACACTCATTTGATTTTCATTTTAACTCTTTTTTTTATTTTTTACCAATTTTTTAAGTTAAAATTGAGTATTTTTGGTCAATAGCTCCCAGGTCATGTGACCTATTGATGCAAAATCAGTGTGAAATTGTTCTACTAGTCTCTGTAGATGGGGCACACTCATTTGTTTTTCATTTTAACTCTTTTTTTATTTTTTAGCAATTTTTTAAGTTAAAATTGAGTATTTTTGGTCAATAGCTCCCAGATCATGTGACCTATTGACGCAAAATCACTTGGAAATTGTTCTACTAGTCTCTGTAGATGGGGCACACTCATTTGATTTTCATTTTAACTCTTTTTTTTATTTTTTACCAATTTTTTTAGTTAAAATTTAGTATTTTTGGTCAATAGCTCCCAGGTCATGTGACCTATTGACCCAAAATCAGTGTGAAATTGTTCTACTAGTCTCTGTAGATGGGGCACACTCATTTGTTTTTCATTTTAACTCTTTTTTTATTTTTTTTTTACCAACTTTTTAAGTTAAAATTGAGTATTTTTGGTCAATAGCTCCCAGGTCATGTGACCTATTGACCCAAAATCAGTGTGAAATTGTTCTACTAGTCTCTGTAGATGGGGCACACTCATTTGTTTTTCATTTTAACTCTTTTTTATTTTTTTTTTACCAACTTTTTAAGTTAAAATTGAGTATTTTTGGTCAATAGCTCCCAGGTCATGTGACCTATTGACCCAAAATCAGTGTGAAATAATTCTACTAGTCTCTGTAGATGGGGCACACTCATTTGTTTTGCATTTTAACTCTTTTTTATTTTTTACCACATATGGACACCCTTATGCTTGAACATGGTGTTCGTTATGGACAATCCATGACAAGCACAGAAGTCCAACAACAGAACACCACTCGAGTTCAGATCGGGGCGACCATTCCTCCCAACCATGCCCCTCCAGGTCTCACTGTCATTGCTCACGTGAGCGTTGAAGTCTCCCAGCAGAACAAGGGAGTCCCCAGGAGAGGCACCCTCCAGTTCTCCCTCTAAGGACTCCAAGAAGGGTGGGTAATCTGAACTGTTGTTCGGCCCGTTAGCACAGACAACAGTCAGAACCCGTCCCCCCACCCTTAGGCGGAGCCCTCTCGTTCACCGGGATGAACCCCAACGTACAGGCGCCGAGATGGGGGGCAACAAGTATGCCCACTCCTGCCCAGCGCCTCTCACTGTGGGCAACTCCAGAGTGGAAGTATGTCCAGCCCCTCTATAGGAGACTGGTTCCAGAACCAGAACCATACGTCGAGGTGAGACAGACTATTTCTAGCCGGAACCTCTCAGCCTCACACACTAGCTCCGGTCCCTTCCCACCAGCGAGGTGACATTCCACATCCCAAGAGCCAGCTTCTGCAGCCGAAGATCGGACCACCAGGGTCCCCTCCCCCGGCCAACACACATTGCATACAACCCTTATGGCCCCTCTCACGGGTGGTGGGCCCATGTAAGGGAGGACCCAACAATTCACACTGATTTTGGGTCAATAGGTCACATGACCTGGGAGCTATTGACCAAAAATACTCAATTTTAACTTAAAAAATTGGTAAAAAATAAAAAAAAGAGTTAAAATGAAAGACAAATGAGTGTGCCCCATCTACAGAGACTAGTAGAAAAATTTTACACTGATTTTGGGTCAATAGGTCACATGACCTGGGAGCTATTGAAGAAAAATACTCAATTTTAACTTAAAAAATTGCTAAAAAATAAAAAAAGAGTTAAAATGAAAAACAAATAAGTGTGCCCCATCTACAGAGACTAGTGGAACCATTTCACACTGATTTTGGGTCAATAGGTCACATGACCTGGGAGCTATTGACGAAAAATACTCAATTTTAACTAAAAAAATTGGTAAAAAAATAAAAAAAGAGTTAAAATGCAAAACAAATGAGTGTGCCCCATCACAAGAGACTAGTAGAACAATTTCACACTGATTTTGCATCAATAGGTCACATGACCTGGGAGCTATTGACCAAAAATACTCAATTTTAACTTAAAAATTGGTAAAAAAAAAAAAAATTATTATCTCAATATAATGAGATAGTAACTCAATATAATGAGATAGTATCTCATTATAATGAGATAGTAACTCAATATAATGAGATACTATCTCATTATAATGAGTTACTATCTCATTATAATGAGATACTATCTCATTATAATGAGATACTATCTCATTATATTGAGATAGTTTTTTTTTTTTTTTTTTACAGAGTGGCAGAAACGGGCTTCCATAAAAATGAACTCTTTATACCGCCACTGTATTTTCCTCTGACTGGAGTAACATTAAACGACTGGCCCAGCCACAGTTATATCCAAATCTGATCATTAAAAACTCGTGGAGGGAGGAAAAGAATAAGGTAAAGGCAAAATGTAAAGCTTTTCACAAAAAATACAGTTTTAAAAATATTTGTTGGAAGCGAACAAAGGCTAGAAAATACAAAAGTGTTTGATAGATTAATGGGAATTAAAGAAATAACTATTGAGAAGAGTATAAACACATTTTAACATGAAATATTTTAATTAGGATTACTTTAAAAAAAATGTATTTTATTAAAACTGATACTCCTCCTTTATTCTATCACAATTTTAGAGATGCTTTTTTTCTTGTTAAAACTCCTGGGCTAGAAAATAAAAAAATATTAACCTTTATTCAAAAAATGTGAAAATAAAACAAGAAATAAACTATTTGTTTGTTTTAATCACTAATTAAAAAAAAAAAAAGCCTATCATTTAATTATGATTAACACACTTTTTACCTGAAGGTCTGTGCCTGCATAAATCTACATTACTGTAACTCCTAACTGTAGTCTTATTCCTCATAAAATTATAATCCCTCTATTCTAAACTAATTGAGTAAAGTTATTATTATGTATCTCTTTAAAAGCTGGTGACAAATTAAAAGGATCCAAAAAAAAAAAATGTGGTTCTCTTTAAAAACAAATTTATGTGAAAATGCACTTTAACTATGCTTAGAAAATGGCTACAATAAATGTATATCTATTAGCGTGAAATATGAATTAACCCTATAAATATAAAGTAATATGGACTTCTGCAAGTTTCAAATTCAACACAATAAAACAATGTGACTTTTTTTATATTTTTCACAATTGTTTTTATGGAATTTATGAATTTTGTATGTGAAATATTTATCAAGAAAATGTTAAATTTAAAAGCAGTTCATATCAGTGGGAAAATGTTTCCTTAGAAAATCAAGGCCGCATCCCTGGGTCTTTAAGATATTTTCATACCTTTGGGTAAAAGAAATTAAGCAATATCGGTTAATCTCTACACAGAGTAATGACATTTTTTATTAAAAAAAATGCTTGATCATGAAATTTTAACTAGAAAAAGGTTGAAAGGGCAAACAGTGGGTGTCATCAGCTGTTTGAGCAACTTTTGAATCTAAAAATAAGTTTGTCCTTTTGCTATTTTGTCTTTAAACTAAATACGGTAAAATGTTTTTACATCATTTTGGAAAGTTCAGTTGTAACCAGCAGCGTTACATATTTTCCACTGACTGTTATTGTTAACTTCCATCATACAATTTAATTTGTAAAGTCTTTATTTACTGAAAATATCTTATTAATAATATGTCTGGTTTTCCTTTAATCACACAAACTTAATAAAATAAAAGAGTCCAGCTCAAGAACTTTCATCATGTGCATTGATCAAGTTTATTTGTAGTTAACTAATAAACATGCTGATGCAGTTCTTATAGGGAGTTAGGATGATGTGCAACAAACCATTTCCTTAAATATGTCTTCGGTCTGTCATTGCTAAGCTTGCAGATTCTGGCTCATATGGAAGCTGTTTGGACGTGCGCGTTCCCCCTCGTCTCATTTTAATCACTCCCTGCAGCCTAACACCTCCTCCCCCTACCTCCCTGTCCCTGCTCAACAGGGAAGCCAGAGTTCAGTGACCAACCTCTGTGCACGCTAGGTCGGCATGGCACGCAAACTCATCCCCGCGCTACCCCCCCTCCTGCACACAAAGTCTAATGGATTATAAACACAATCCCTCTGCTGCTCAATTTACATTGCTCCTGTTCTGGACACCGTATTCGGTAAGGATCTTTTGAGGAGCCCGAACGAAAGGAGAAGTGGTCCCATTAGCATAGAGTGCATTAGAGGAAAAATAGAGTTCTTTATGATTTCAGACTGATGCAAACTAAACTTCCTGCTTATTACTGATTGTAATACATCTGTGGACAGCTACTACAGCTGAGATCAAATCTATGAGTTACTCTAAAATATTTACCTGATATCCTTTTTCAGGCACTCACCCCCAACCGATACCTAAAATTCCTCTTTTGATCGCTTCATAAGTCTACAGTCAATAAATGACATTCATTTGGAAGGTCCCATTATGAAGTGAAGTAGGTCCTAAAACTTTCCAGAGATGCAGCTTTCAATTATTTCTGCTCGCTTTATATCACCAGTCAGTTTTGGGCAGTTTGCAATTAATATGTAACTGTTAGTGACATTAATTTCAAAATAAAAAAAGGTAAACAGATTTTGTATTACATATAACAAAAAAGCCCATCTAACAATAATTATAGAAATATTGTTAATGATATGTATAATTCTTTAAATATGGAACATTGGAAAAAAAAAATTAAGAAAATATTAATACAAAGCCACTCTTGCATTGGCTATGTATTCCTTCATTTTCAACTTAAAGGTTTTGCTTGCATTGCTGATGAACAATGTTGGAATTTTGGTACCAAATTGACAATAAAAGTAATCCTGACTGTATGCTTTGAAGAATTGAAATGACAATTCTGGTTATCAACTTATATGTTACAACATTTCCATTTAAACATTTCCATTTAGCAAGCAGTGGGACAGGCAACCTCATTAAAGTAAAAAGGAGATCAAGGAAGTTTCCTTACTGTTTTCACTTCTTACAATGAGGGACTGCTGCCAAGTTAAGAAGATGCAGTCCATCTTAATCCCTTAACTTATATATATATTTTATTTACATAATTAAACTTGAATCCATCTGATTTGATTGGATTTTAATTTTTTAGGGTGCCCGAGACTTCATTACAAAGGATAAATGGTTAAAAAAAACAAACAAAAACTGTTAATATTACACGCTTTGCATATTTGAAATAACAGTTTAAGAAATGCCTATGGCATTTTATCAAAACAGGTCTCCATATATTCCAACAAGCAGTTTCCTTTTGTTCATACTTTTAATCTTTAAAAAATAGCAAACTCAGGCCACCACACTATTACATTCTTCCATATACAAAGTATATCCCTTGTACCCTGTTAAAAGATGTGTATCTGTGTTCGACCATGACCTTTTTATGTTGTCTGTTATGCTTTGACACTATTCACAATTTCTATTTACAATAATTAAGATTTTATTATTGGTATATGCAAAATGCTTAACGTTTACAATCAGTCAAAAGTGTTGTTATATTTTCCAACTCACTCTCAGAGGAAGACGGTCAGATCAAACAGCAAACTGATATGCCCTGATACAACACTGAACTGTAAATGTAACATGCCTAATCCCAATAAATATGCAAAAAAAAAAAAAAAAAAATATATATATATATATATATATATATATATATATATGTGTGTGTGTGTGTGTGTGGGCCGGTGTGTGTGTGTGTGTGTGTATATATATATGATTTCTTCATGTTGGATGCTGTTTTGATGCTGTTTAGACACACAATACTACCTTGCAAAAAATGAGAATCTGTGAAGAAAAAGCACAACCACAACTGAAATATGATGTCTGGGACATTTTGCTGAATTATTTTATTCTTCCTGTATTTTGTGCTCTTAGTAAAGCGGTCAAACCACATGTGCAATAAGGACATCCGTTGGTGAGCCAGTTCTGAAATTAGTTCTGACTTTGTTGGTTTTTTTTTTTTTTTTTACTGTTTACACATGAACAGCAATCAACTCAGACTGTCAATTTTTTAAGCATCTCTATTTCCCCCATCCCGTGGTCTGGCAGAAAAGAAAGCTCTCACTGAAACATCATGATCTCCAGCTAGCTATGTCCGGTGGTTACCCCCCACAGCAGTCCAAGATGCCAATTGCCTAAGGAATGTTTTTGTTGGTGTTTTCTAAATCATTTTTGGCTGTTGTGTTTCTTATATGCTTGGATCACCTTTGCTCTAAATATTCTAAAAGCTTTCAATTCTTTTTCGAAAGGTTCCTAATTTGCCAGCTGAACCCCCGACTTTCCTCTCCTCACTGCTTCCATGTACCTCCAGAAACCCCATCCATCCCCCAATTCCCCTATCTGCCTGCCTCTCTGTGCTGTGCGTGACAGTAGCTCACTGCAAAGTGGAAATGAGAATAGTAAACAATGATTAGCTCCAGAGACGGGGCAGGCTCGTCTGCCATTGGTCCTGTCTCCATACAGTGAGCTCGCCCACCCGCCAGCACATGACATCAGGGCCTCATCTCTGATCCACTCCACTGCCCCCAACCCCCTTAGCTCACTCCGAGTCAACACAGGGTCATCAAGGGGGTAATCAAAGGCAAACAAGGCAACCACATGCCAACTGCTCATACAACACCCCGACTCCCATCCCATGCGCATCCACACACACAAAATCCTGCACCTTGCCACCCAAGTACCCCCTTCCTTCACCACAAACCTGGTTCTAATTAGCATAACGGGGATTCGAGTAGCCACATGTGGATGATGAGCAGCTGGTGGCCTGTGGAGGTGGGGGGGGGGGCTGTAAGAAGCTACAAGAATACGGGAGAAAAGAACAGCGATACATTGTGTAGCCATTGCATTTAAAAATTTTACTATGTGCCTGGTTAAGCAAGAAATTATTGTAGGGCCTTTAGTACCATGCCACACCACATTGCTCAAGACAAACAGCTCTAAGGCAGAGCTTTGAATAGACTCGACATCAAGGGGCTGATTTAGAGCTATTGTTAAAAAAAACAAAAGCACAAAACATGCAATTTAGTTCTGCCATTATTGTTACAAACTTTACATTTTTGTTTATTTTCACAAAGATAAAAGTCCAGAAAATGGATCCACAGTCTGCATATGTAGCCTTTTAATTTTACAGTCGACTCGATCCACTTTGCTTTTAATCAAATGAGTCCTTGCCTGAAGGATCCGCTGTGCTACGGATTGACCCAGTTGGTGCGGCAAGAGGAATAAAACAAAGAACAGCATTGTATTTCAGAGAAGCAGCGACTACAAGTGTATCCTGGACGGTAAACAAACGTACCACAGCACACCTGGTGGAACAGCTCTGACTGACTAGGGTTGTTTCAATCAGCTGGAATGCCACAGCACAGCCGCATAGCTTCCACAATCAGTTGAACAGAGGAGTTATGCTACTGGAGTACATAGGGACCACAATTCACCACCCTTCTTCCTTCTATTTCTAATATCACATTTAAAAAAAGGAACTTTGCTGATCTCACACTGGAGAAATTTAAGTCTGCGTTTAACCCATCCCCTTTGGGAGCAGTGGACTGCCATTCTGTGGTGCCCGGGGAGCAGCGTGGGGTTGAGGTTTTTGCCCAGGAACCCAGAGTGGAGGCTGTGGGGATTGAACCGGGTACTTGCAACTTTCTCAGAGCACAAGTGCACTGCTCTCGCCACTAGGCCAACCCTCTTTGCATTATTTATTATTTTAACTTCTAACTTTATATTCATTCTGTCACAGTCTTGGTTCTGTTATGGTTTTTTTTTTGAGTATTCGTTTTAACTTTGCTCCAGCTTTTCTAGTTTTATTGGTTTAATTCTTATTTTGTTGTGTTTTGTGGTTATATTTCAGTTCTCAGGTTTTAATTTGTTGCTCTCAGTTGCCCTCTTGTGTTGGTCTCCTTTTTCCCTAGCTCCTTAGACTGCCCACACCTGCTCCTAATCTGCTCGTTAGTCCTCTCTTTGTTCAGTTAGCCATAAATACTTTAATTGTGCATTTCCTCGGTGCTGGTTCCTCGTCTAACTTCGTTCAACTCCGTCTTACTGTGTCTTACCTCGTCATGACTGTTTTCCCCTGACGTCTCCATGGTTTGTGGTTTGTTTTACCTATTTCTTGTTGGCTTTTTGGATTTTTTTGTATTCCTCCCTTAGTCATCTGTTTACCTTTCATTAAATCAACAAAAACCCACCTCTGCCTCCGTGCCTTTGCGTTTGGGTTCATCAAACCACAAACAAATCCTGACACATTCTGCTTTTTCCCTTATTATTAGCTTCCTCTGACCTGGTACCCTCTTTAGCTGAGACAGTTTAGTTCTGTGTCTCTCCTAGACATAGCTCTTATGTTATGTTATGTTGCAGATATATGAAATATATCTGCAACATAACATAACATAACAGCTATATATGCAATATATATATTTCTTTCATATATATGCATATATTTCTTTAATATATATGCAATATATATGAAAGAAAATTCAGAGCTAAATTTGCTTCGGTTCAAAAAAATGGGGCACACAGTCAAAGTCCATTTGCAACATAGATTATTTTGAAAGAGCTAAAAAAGGGAGGTACGCATATAATAATCCTTTTGTCCAAGTCTAAGTCTCTGTCTTTTGAAAGGCAATGTAATCCATGATGCATGAAAAGTAAACTACAGTGTGGTTGTTTTTTTGTTTTGTGTACCAGCAGTATATCCCTGTCCTCCTTCCTTGTCTTGCCTTTTAGACCAAACACTTTCCCATATCTTTGTTAACAAGATTTCTAACTTTCCACTCTAGCAATGTCTTACATCCCTATGGGTATTTATGTACTTGCTTAAAAAAGTATATATATTTGGTAAGAATGCAAAACCATTTTTTCATTCACTGCAGAAGAAAGCTTGTACTAATAAATACTAATGGAAATCTGAAACATGCACTTTTTGATTTGTTAGTAAAGACAAAAAGCTTCAATTGAAGCATGATTTCGCCACATCAAGCTTTTGCGCTCACTGTGGAAATGGTGGGGGGGTTTATTTTGAGCAGTGATGTAATGCTGAGACTCCTGCAGAACCGCAGTTTATTTGTTGGCAAAAACAAGACCTAAACATCAATAATTGATGGTTTGTCTGCTCTGAAGTATTTGTTACATTAACGTTAGGTCAAAAAGGAATATTGGTATTGAGTTGAAGAAGAAGAAAGGAAAGACACAAATTACACATATAAAGTTAATTTAATTTGGAAACTGCCAGAATGAGTTCATCATCCATCTATTATTAATACATACTAATTTACAGTGTTATATGGTTAAAAGAAAAATACAAATCTACATAGTTTTTATTATTGTAATTGACTGGCAGAAATTATTCTTAAATCACCTGATTGTTTTCTCAGCAATATGGAAGGACTGAAAAAAAAAAAAAAACATGTTTACATTTTATTAACAAAAAAGATAAACTCTAATTAATACTGCTGTCCATTTTGATGGAGGGATCTTCTTCGCCATTACAGAAATCAACCCCATCTTAAAATTGCTGGGAAGCTTTTTGCAGTGTTGTTGTGTTTAGGTGGTGCTTTAATGGGCATGTTTTGTGTGAATTCAGTTCCCTCTGGTAGTCATAAATGTCGATTATACATGTCGATTATAAATAAAATCAAGGAATTGCAGCAGCTAAAAAAAGAATTATTTCAGCTTTAATACTTATAATAAACTTAAATCATATTTAAGGTAAAATCAGTTTAAAAGCTTTCAAAGTTATTCTATAAAGTTTCCTAATAGATAATATTATATCTATTACAAATCTAGGAGAATTACATCTAAGTTAAAAGTTTTCTTCTCTGCCAGTCCTGCAGTGCCTTTGATAAACTCGCCCGACAGCTCCTCAGTCTGCCAGTTCTCCCCCTCTGCAGCGCTGACTGCGGTCCGTCATGCTGCTTGCTCCTGGCTTCCCCCGACAATCTGTGCTGCGCGCGCCTGAGAGCGACCAACAGCAGAGAGATAATGCGCTGCAGTGGTGTCTACACTGCTACCACAATGGGAGGAGTGTGAAAGTTATCCTGGGCCCTGCCCACTAACAGCAAGCATTTAAGAGGCTGTAGAGCACCAAAAGGAGGCACTTAAGCCTTAAATCTTGATAGACTGACTGATTAGAAGTAAAACCTGTTATGAATATATTACTGGGATTTGACTAGCTGTTTCATAGGTGATATGGACCCATAAGCTTTTTTTTGTTCTTTACATACAAGCATTAAACAGACTGTTAAAAAGGAAAAGTCTTGAAAAAATGGCAATTGAAAGTGAATTTAGTGTGAAGAGCAGCAGCATCATCAAGGAATGGAGCGGACAGGTCCACCCTGCCCTGGTTGTGTCTTTTGTTTTCCTCGTCTGCCTGGAAGCCTGCCTGTGGGTCAGAAACCTCAGGCTCAAGAGGAGACTGCCGGGACCCTTTGCCTGGCCCGTGGTGGGTAACGCCATGCAGCTGGGACAAATGCCTCACATCACCCTGGCAAAGCTCGCCAAGAAGTATGGCAATGTGTACCAGATAAGGCTGGGCTGCAGCGATGTGGTGGTCCTCAACGGAGAAAAGGCAATACATCAGGCACTGATTCAGCATAGCACAGAGTTTGCAGGACGACCAAACTTTGTCTCATTCCAGATGATCTCTGGAGGCAGGAGCCTGACGTTCAATAATTACAGCAAACAGTGGAAAGTGCACAGGAAAGTTGCACAGTCAACTCTCAGAGCGTTTTCTTCAGCAAACAGTCAGACCAAAAAAGCCTTTGAGCAGCATGTTGTGGCAGAGGCCACAGAACTGGTGCAGGTGTTTTTACGTCACAGCGCTAATGGACAGTATTTTCATCCAGCTTATGAGTTTACAGTAGCTGCTGCAAACATCATGTGTGCTCTTTGCTTCGGAAGGAGATATGGACATGATGACCAAGAGTTCAGAACCTTGTTGTACAGAGTGGACAAGTTTGGAGAGACAGTTGGAGCAGGTAGCTTAGTAGATGTCATGCCCTGGCTGCAGTCCTTTCCAAATCCTGTGCGAAATGTTTATGAAACTTTCAAAAGCATAAACAATGAGTTTTTTGGCTATGTGAAAGACAAGGTTGTACAGCACAGGGAGACCTTCAACCCAGAGGTGACCCGGGACATGAGTGATGCCATAATTAAAGTGATAGAGCATGGAGAGGAGTGCGTGTTGGGAAGTGAATTTGTTGAAGCAACTGTTACTGATCTGATTGGAGCAGGTCAAGATACAATTTCAACTGTGATGCAGTGGCTTCTCCTCATGCTAGTTAAATACCCAGATTACCAAACCAAACTGCAGCATCTCATTGACAAAGTGGTAGGCCAAGATCGGCTGCCATCTACTGAGGACAGAAGCAAACTGGCTCTCCTGGACGCCTTCATCTTCGAAACCATGCGTTTCACCAGCTTTGTCCCATTCACTATCCCACACTCAACCACGTCAGATGTCACCATCGAAAGCCTCCACATCCCCAAGGACACAGTGGTCTTTATCAACCAGTGGTCTGTCAATCACGACCCCCTGAAGTGGAAAGACCCCCACGTGTTTGACCCAACACGCTTCCTTGATGAGAACGGTGCCCTGGACAAAGACAGAACCAGTAGCGTGATGATTTTTTCAACAGGTAAGAGGCGCTGCATCGGCTCTCAGATTGCCAAGGTGCAGGTGTATCTGTTTGCAGCTGTCCTGCTGCATCAGCTCACATTTGAGAGCGACTCTTCTATGCCTCCTACTCTGGATTGCACTTATGGTCTCACGCTGAAGCCCCTCCAGTTTAATATAAGAGCCAAGCTGAGGGGAAAGTTGCTTGGTGTGGTCTCCCCAGCATAAACACCATGCCATACTTCTGTTACACACTTTACCACCAATTACATTTTGAAGTCTGTATTCTTGCAAAAAAAAAAAACAGTTTTCTATATTAAATATGAAAATGTAATGCATACTTTGACTTCTATCTTCAAAAGATGTCTGATACAAATATAACATACGTTCATAGAGTGTTAGGGTCATTGGAGAGTATAAAATATTCACTAATACTCTGTCAATACTCAGTAATACTCTGCACTTGATAAGATTTATTAGAGAAACACATGCTTGTTTGTCATCCAGTTAAGCACAACTATGTGTTCAAAAGTGACATTTAAAGTATTGCTGATGCATATCAAATACTTGAGAATGTGACTAAGAAACTTGAACGTCCATTGCTCTAATTTGTTGTGTTTAAAATGTATTTTAATTTTGCCATATATATTGTATTTAATGTATGACAGTTACGAAACAAATGTAATCACTATCTATTGTATCTAAAACATTAGAACACAATGGATACTAAAATGAGCTTGTGTAAAAAAAAATCTGAATTGAGAAAGGAATCTTTCAGCAAGGAGGATCCAATACTTTTCTAATAACAAGAATGAGACATCACTGGGGACCGCAAGGACTAACAGACTTTCTGCATCAAAGCTTTACTTTCACTGTACAAGCACTGCAGCTACCATTATGCCATGCCTCTCTTTTTCTCAGTACAACAAAACACATGTGTAAGACATTTCTCTCACTTGTGAGGCATTCTTAAAACCATGTTTGTTTACAGTGCAGTTTTTCAAAGCTACACGGATGTTGGTGCACTTACTCTAAGCCTCTGTGTTCACAACTTGACATTTTAATATCCAAGGGATGTTTTTCTGCCTGTGTTAAGACAGAAAATGAACCCCGGTCAGCTTCCAATGTTAAAGCCTTCTATCTGGAGGGCCTGCTTTTTTTAAGACTCACTGAACCTTTATATACTGAAATAAATAAGCTGTATTTAAAATTAAAATGAATTGTAAATTGTTGGTGTGTCTGATTTATTTCGCCTTAATAGAGAGGATGAAAAAAGCATCTTACTATAAAACTTGGCAAAGCATAAAACATTTTTCTAATTACAACATAAAACAGGTTGATGAAATACCAAATTATTAAACTAAAAGATGTGCATACAGTTAAATAATCTATTTTTCTTTCTGGAAGTATTGTGTGTGGGTGTGTGTGTGTTTGTGTGGGGAGGGGGGGAACGGGGTGTAGTAGTGGGGGGAGGTGGGTGTTATAATCTCTTATTTTTTATTACTATAAAAAAATATGGTCCCTATCTTACACCTTTGACAATTAATGAATTTTTTTTTATTTTGTCACAAAGGATAAATTAATTAATTAATTAATTAATTTCTGCCTTGTATATAGGATAATACCAGCCTTTTTATGATGAATAGTTTCAAATGAACTTTTATGAATTCCCTATAATTTTATGGCACCATGAGTGAAGCTCATGGCCTGGTACCCTGCAATACTGTTGCCTTACCCTTGCCAGTGGGAAGAGTAAGATCATTTTTGTGAAAATTTCTAAGGATCAGTTTAACACTCTATCTAGATACATCATGCAAATTAAAACTTTTTAAAGACCGTTTATTTCAGAAAATGGAATAGCTCTAATGGTTGCAGAGTTGGCTCTGAAGTGCAGCAGCAGCATCATCATGCACTGGAGCTGACATGTCAAACCTGCTCTCGTTACTTTGTTTGTTTTTCTCCGCTGTCTGGAAGCCCGCCTGTGGGTTAGGGACCTAAAACTCAAGAGGAAAATGCAAGTAGCCAGCAATGCTTTTCAGCTTGGTCTAATGCCTCTTATCTCCTTTCCTAAGATGCAAAGAAATACAGGGATGTATATCAGATTCACTGGGGTTGCATCAATGTAGTGGTCCTGAACAGAGCCCAGTTGATCCGAGAGGCTCTGTTTCAGCACAGCAGGGAGTTTGCTAGGAAGCCACACTTTATGTCCTTTCAGAGTGTATCAGGGGACAAAAAGAGTTGGACTTTCTCTAATCACAGCAACAGTCATATAAAAAAATCTTTTGAAGATCAAATTGCCAGTGAGTCCAAAGAACTAGTAGAGAATCTCCTTAAACTCTGCACTCAGACACAGCATTTTAACCTGAAGCATCAACTGACAGTAGGTCTTGCCAATGCAATTTCTGCTCTGTGCTTTGGAAAATGCTATGGTGACGATGATGTAGAGTTCAGAGCCTTATTGGATAACATAGATCAGTTTGGACAGACAGTGATGGGAAGTTTAGTCTATGTCATGCCATGGCTTCAGACTTTCCCCAATGAAAATAAGACTTAATCCACAGGTCATAAGGGTAATGATTGATGCCATTATAAAAGTCCTTGCTGAGTCTGAAGATGATCCAGAGACAACAATGGCAGGTTTGATTGGTGTAGGCAAGGATACTCTCTCTACTACCATTTACTGGATTGTTCTCTTGCTGGCTAAGCACCCTGACATTCAAACAAACTCCATGAGCTCAGTTACAAGGTGGAAGGATGGGACAGGCTGCTTTCAGTTGAGGACAGAAAACACATTCCTCATTTGGATGCCTCTATCTATGAAACAATTGCTGTGTCCGAGCATCTGCTTTAACCCCTAAATTCCTCAATCACTATATAGAGCAGGTACTATAAATTTTATTGTGAACTCAGAAAACTGACCGTTTGGACAGATGATCACTACTTTTGGCTCCTTGTTGGTCACATGGCTCTGCCTCACCGCACGGTGCCTGCACCATCTTTGTTATTGGCTGTTGTGACAAGAAATCCCATAATGCTTTGCAAGGAGAGCCCTCACAAAGCATTATGGCATATATGTTCTCATCTAGTGACCGGGGATGATCACTACTTTTCAAGTCCACTACTTTTTTATACAATAGAGATTCAGACCCTCGTCTAAAATGGCGTAATCACTATGCAGCTCTCTAAATTTAGGGTTAGGGAAAACATTTAGACACAACCTATGTGTTTTACCAGCTTTGTCCTTAACACCATTCCCCACCCAAGCACTTCAGATGATACCTTGGGGTATCTCAGTATCCTAAAAAGACAGAAAATTTGTATCAACCAGTGGTCTGTCAATCATGACCTCCTGATTTGGAAGAACCATGACTATTTGACCCTTCTCGCCTTTTAGATGAAAACGGCTCCCTGGATAAGGATGTGACAAACAATCCATCAACATCATGACAAACATTCAGAAAATGCATTAAGCAACCACACCCATTCAACATCTTAAGTCATGAACACACTCCCGGAGTATAGCAACTGAATTACAAGAGCAAACAGGTTTAAAATGTCTAAATACTGCAGTTTTTAGACTAGACCAGATAAAATAGATTAATGGCAGTCAAAAGGCAGAAAAACCTTTTAGCAGTTTACCAGATCAAAAGCTGCAATCAGAACCCAACTTCTGCTTCATGCTCAGCACAGCCTCATCAATGTAAACATTATAAAGAGTAATTATAATCCTGATCCTTTAATAAATGCAATAATAGCAGTTTAAAATAGCCTCTTCTCACATAGATCCACCGACTGATGGGCTTCTGTTCATACAACTCCACCAAGCTATTTGTTGCTAGCTAAACAAGCAGTCAGTCATGTATTAGAAGGAAGACTAGTCGCTGTTTGGGATTAGCCAATGGGGGTGCAAGAACAACACACCAATGCTGATTGGTTGACAAAGTTATTTAGTATGAGATTCTCATTATGAAATAAAAAGGTCATTGTTGCTAAAACATTATGAAATACCTACTGACTTTTTAAAACCTAGGGTCCTGTCACACCTTGCCGATTTAGAGTAGACAGCGTATATCTGACGACCCAGAATCTCCTGAAACGCTAGCATGCAATCAAATTTCAAGTTTTTTTTTCAATTTTTGGCGTATGCATAGCATATTCATAACGCGTCCAGAACTTATGTCAAACGAGAACCTAACTTATGCATAAGGTATGGCAGCGTAATGCCCATGAAAGGATGCTTGTGCATCCTTTCATGGGCATTACGGAGCATCAGTTAAAGATGATCCCCTCAGGCACAGCAATGTGCCTGAGGGGAGCAGCAATGCACCTGGAGGCGCCCAGTCTGCATAAAAGATTTCTTAGGTTGTGGTATTAACCTAGCTGCTGTTTACCGCCTGCCCCCCAAGAAAATAGGATAAATAAAACAAAAAAAGAAAGAAAGAAATTTTGTAGTCACAGCAGATTCAGTGTCATGTCTGCTAGTAAGTTTGTTGGTCATGGCCATGAACGCTGGGGGAATCCATCACCTTCTCGCTCACCCTATGATGGAGAGGAAGTCTGGAGGAGAACTAACTGCTTCCTCCTGTGAACCCCCTTTTATACCAAAACGACTCCAATATGCCATTAAACAGTAGCTGTAAGTTAGAAACATGCTCAACGGCCGTCTGGAACCCTTCAAATACGTTGATATGTGTTGGAGATAAGTTCTTGTTAAGTTAAGCATAAGTTATGCACAGGTTACTCTTACTGTAGATTTTGGATAAGCTAGACACCACAACTTATGAGTAACTTACATTGAACATAGGTCAATGTTCAGATAACTTACCTGTAACATATGCCCCACAGATGGCCTACGCTGGCATATACATACGTGCCATACGGCATCTACGTATGTCCGTCGACATACGTAGATGCTGCATGTTGACGTATGCTAGCATGCTTCAGCGTGCTCATAACTTATACAAAATATACCCATAACTTATCCAACATATGCCAGCGTTTTTGACAGATTTTTCATACTTCAAGGTGTGACAGGGGCTTTATATTTTGAATTTTAAAAAAACTACTGTAATTAGGTAACATGCTTTAACATCATCTATTGATTTATAATTAAATAATTCTGTTGAGAACAATACTTGCATTTAGTTATTTTGCACTTTCATAATAATACTTTTATTTGTATTATTTATCAGAGTAGATGTTCATTTCATAGTTATCTATTAAATAATGAGCACTTCTGCATTCCATACATCTGAAGATATTGTAAAGAAAAATGAAAAAAACTACTTTGTGAATTTTTAAACTCTCGTGTTTTTTGCATTAAAGTTTTTTTTTTTATCATAGAGACCGCGTCTCCCTCTGTGAGTGGTCATTGGTATAACTGCGTTGTGTTTTCACAGGAACAGTCCTGCAGCAGAAGTTACATTTACATGGATTAAAACAGAGCAGAGTGAAGATGTTGTGTGCTTTTTCTGGCCCTCACAGTAGGTGAATCCCAGAGGATGGAATGAGCTTCCTGACCTCATATGATTCCAGCAGTTTCCCCCAAAAAATCCATGAAATGTGTCCAACTAAAAGATTCCCTTTTACCCCCAACCCTGCGCTCCACACACACCCCACAGTGCTTGACCTGTGGAGTTTTACTTCTAAAAGGAAAACAAAAAAGCTGCTGTCTGAAAATTTTCCAGCTCTGAGAATATTTGCACGTACGCATAGCCACAGAGTGACCTCCTACAAGGCTCCCTTGGCGTCCATCACTCACATGACAATACGAAACATCCATCTACCTTGCCTAAAGGTTTTGGATGTTAATTAAATCTAGAATTGAGCAAATGATATGGTTTTCTGAGAAAAAAAATTAGTTTGCAAGAAAATATCTCGTTTGACTAGAGCACAAAGAAACATATCTAAGCAATTATTTCGTCAGACACATATCCAATAAAAAGTAGTAATAACTCAACTTGATTCTATTTTGTTGAATTAGCTGAATTAAAGTTTTTTTTAAACCGTTATTTATTTGTATCTATGAAAATCCTTCATTTTACTTCAACTTCAAAATTATGCATTACATTCAAAAGCCCTTTCAAATCCTAAACAAAATACACAAAAGTTTTTAGTTATTATAACATGGCAAAAATGAAAAGAAATGCTTTCAAAAAACAATTATATTCAATATTATTGTATTATTGAATATATTATTATATTCTATTGTATAATATTCTTACCAGATCCT